TACAGAGGGAGGGGTTGTAGGTGAGCAGGGCATGGGTGCAGAGGGAGGGGTTGTAGATGAGCAGGCATGGGTGCAGAGGGAGGGGTTGTAGGTAAGCAGGGCATGGGTGCAGAGGGAAGGCATTGTAGATGGTAACCCTGGGTCTTTTACTCTAAGCTGAGCTTAGTTGGGAAAGCCAGGCAGGCTGAGGCCAGACAAAACCAGGTCCAGTTTTGCCTCTAACATCAGCCTAACCACTTTACCAGACACCTTTCCACTTCCCAAAGCTGTGGCTTTTCACACAGTCTCTTACTGCGCCAGACTCTATCTGTCTGGTCTCCTCACAATCCCACAGTCCCTCCAGTCCAGAATATTGCAAACATCTCCATCTTTGAGACTGGAGATACTGGACCAACATGACCTTGTAAATTCCCTTCCACATCTGGGAGCCATAGGTCTTCAACAGTTCTATCTCTGCCTGTCAGAAGGGGCAGGGAAAGTAGAGATCGGGCACCTAGTACAAGATTCTGACAGACCCCCTGCGCCTTCACACTGAGCCTCTATTAAAGCTTCCAGTAGAAACAGAAGGTGTCAGGAGAGAGCCGGCACCTTCAGGACAAGCAGCCAATGCACCAGTGACCATGCACCACAGCTCCAGCCAAATCTCACAGAGCTTTCTTCCTCACCTGCAGTTGCCAATCAGTCCTCATCTTAACACAGCAGCAAACCATGCTGCAAATCCTAAAAGAGCCACCAGGAGGCAGACTAGCCTCACCCAAATTATCATCTTCATGCCATTTGTATAGTGGTGTTGGAAGGGACGGAATACATATTATACCACAGTGATATTCAACAAGCCCTGTGGTCATTGTTAATCAGAGCATCAGTGGATGTACAGTTCAGAGGGGAGGAACACCCTGTGCCAAGGCCAAAAGAATCAGTGCACAATACCTATGCCAAACTTAGCACCTTCTTCTCCTCTTCTTCTCTTTCTTCTTCTTTCTCTTCTTTTGTTGCTCTTTTATTGGCTTGCTTGTTTCATTGATTTTTTTTCCTTTCTGTTTTTTTTTAAACTAAGTATTGTGTAGCCCAGATTGGCCTAAAACTCAGTATGTAGCAAAGAATGATCTTGAATTCTGATCCTTCAACCTCTACCTTCAGAGTGTGGGATTATAGGTATGGACACTATATACAGTTTTTGAAGTGCTAAGGATCACATCCAAGGCTTTCTGCATGCCAGGCAAGCACTCTACCCACCTAGTGAGATACACCACCAGCCTCGCTCTTCATTGTAAGGAATTAAAAAAAAAATCTTGTTTATCTTCATCTGTGCACAGGTTCCCTTGTCTTCTTTAGACATGAATAATTAGAGAGAAATCCCAAATTATGACCAGAAAGGGGGGGATCCAAAGCTGGGCATGGAGGTCAGTGGAATCCAAAGATTAGCTGGGTTGTAACCGCTAATGTACCTAGTGGTCTTGGGTGGTTCCTAACCTGACAGGTCTCTATAAGTGAGAGTGTGTACACTAGTTCCACAGCCCTCACACTGGCACTAGCACCACTTACACATTCAGAATAAAAACATAACAAACATAATCCATCACAGATGCCCGAGTACCACCACCAAAGATACCAGTTGGGAGTGGTGGGTGGAGAAGATGGTCCCTTTGGCCTTCTAGGGAGTTCTCCTACAGGTCTGGGGATCATTCATAGGATACACTTGAGGGTCCCTCGTGTCCTTTCTATATTTCAGGACTTCTCCTGTCATCTCTGGTTTAGACATGAAGGGTGTCATTTAACTGAAATCCCCCTCTTGTCCTAAAGTGGCAGAGACTGTGAGTACCCACCCTACATCCATGGGCCCTTCCTCAATCTCTAGCACAAATTGTGTTTAATTGGTGGCCATGCATCTAAATGCCAACTAACTGGAATTGAAATGATATAAGCTACTTAAGTCCCTGAAAAACACCTACACTTCTAGCCTTGTGTCCCTAGGATCAAGGTACCCTGGGGTCAATTTCTGGTGGAAGAAGTTCATGCCTCTAAGCTGTTGGTCATTGCTTAGGAGAGCCACATACTCTATTTCAAACTGTGACCTGGGAGAAAATGAGTATTTGTTATGTCAAGGCCCTGATTAACAGATGGACAGCTGCCATGATCACGTTCCACCATCAAAAAACCCAAAACAGTGAATAATGATGGTGCACAATTATAATCCAGCATTTAGGAGGCTGATGCAGCAGGATTGCTGTAAGTTCACAGCCAGTTGGGCTACACAGTGAGTTCAAGGTCAGCATTGGGATATGTAGCAAAACCCTGCCCCCTCCCCCACCAAAGTAAAATAAATTAAATAAAAAACCTGTAACAAACAGCATTCAGCAGAGTGCTGACATTCTGCTGTGGAACAAGCTGATGCCTCAGGTTGGAAAGATGGAGGCCCATGTTCCAGAGGCCCAAAGCTGTCAGGGCCTGTCCACAGAAATCTTAGCTCCAAAGGGCAACTTTGCAAAATCATGTGTTGATAGTGTGCTGATTGCTTCTGTCTGCATCTGTATTGCTATAAGGAAAACAGTTTAGAAAAGAGCTGGCTCTCCTTGAGCTACATGCAAGAGAATACAGCTCACAAATTCAAGATTTCTACTGCACAAAATGCAATCTATGTGTTGGTACAAATCTCTCTTCCTCTGTCTCTGTCTCTCTCTCTCCTTCTCCCACTCTCTCATGGAAAAACCTCTACTGGATGAAGTGACAGGGTAAGAAGCAGATAGAAAGTATAGCTTTGTTATGCAAACCTAATGTCTCACTAAGAAGTGGAAAATGAGACATACATTTAGGAACTGGCTGAGTACCAAGAGGAGAAACCTCCAAAGTTATGGACAAACTCATACTAAATTATCCATGAAACCATGAGTGAGCCCAGACCCATTGACCTACTGCCAATTCCACATGAGCACCCCAAAGCTGCAGAGCACCTCAGGGATGAATAACATTCATCGAGGGCCTTGTGAAGGAATGCTAACCAATGGAGTGAGGGACCAAGTTGTGTAAGCCACTTTCAGACCTAGTCCCTACTAACATCACATACTTCAAATTTCGCCTCCTATCAATGGTGACTCAAGGATTAGACTGTGCCTCATCTCCCGGGGCCTCCACAAATTGAGGTGTGTAGAATATGACTAGCTCTCACACTAACATCAGCATCACTTAGATACTTATAAACAAAACACAAACATGAAAATATCAGCAACAAAGATTCCAACAGGGAGTGAGTGTTGGGCGGAGAAGTTGACCCTTGCCTGAATGAAGATATGTGAATCTAGAATTTCTTTTAAAAGGCAAAACCAAAGCACCAGAGCTTGACAGGGACAGTGTGGGCTGATTCTTCGGGGGCTATCGTCAACACCCTAGTCAACAGCTGCCAAGGGGAAGAAAAGAAAATGAAGGATGTCACCAGGGTAACCAAAGGTCAGGATAAAAAAAGACAGAAGAGCATTCTCAGAGGGAAGAGCCAAGCCTTGAAGGGCTGCGGGTTTGCTGCTGAGCCCTGTCAATCACGGAGCTGGATACACTATGCTTTCCTTCTAAAACCTGACACACTATGTACAGATGACTTGTCGCTTTGGCACACAGGGCACTGGACAAGGTGGATCCAGATCCTCATCCGGCAGAGAGGATCAGCCATCACCAAGGGACCCTGCACACTTAAGATGATGCTGTG